TTGGTAAACTGTAGGTGGTATTGTATACTACTTTCATCAGAGATGTATAATGTCAGGATGTCTTGTGTGTATGTGTGTGTGTTGTGATGCTTGCATCTGTTGGTGCTTACTGCCTACATCATTAATTTGGGGTTGCAAAATAGTGATATTGTAATCCTATTATTCTTTTTTAAATGTTGGAATGCATATATAAAGAGACAATTCCCTCTGTTTGGTTATTCAGTGGCACATTTCATGGAGAGGCTAAATAGCTGGGACCAGCGGCTCACGCCTATAATCCTAGCACTTTGGGTGGTCAAGGCGAGAGGATCACTTGAGGTCAGGAGCTCCAGACCAGCCTGAGCAACATAGTGAGACCCTGTCTCCATAAAAAACAAACAAAAGAAAAAAAAGCAAAATAAATGTTTAATTTTAATATTTTCCCTTGGTTTACCAGTTCTCAAGATAAATTTGCTCCCTCTCACTTCCAAGATGATTGATTAGATTTTTCTTTAATATAATTATGAACTCATGTATTTAAAACACATTTGATATGTTTCTTTTCATTGCTATTATTCTTATTGAAACTCTAGTTAAGATTCCTCAGGAAAGGCTCATGGGAATAATATTCCCTGATTTCTTGCTTATTACTAATAAAGTTTATTTGTGCCCTTTACACTTGAAAAATCAGTTTTGCCAGATATAAAATCTCTGACTCACATTTTCCACTTTCTGTATCTTAAATATATTTCTCCATTTTTTTTGCATGGATATGCAACATGAATGTTGTCAGAAAGTCTGATGATGATAATTTCACCTTTTTCCCCTCAAAAAACATTTGCTTTTTTGGCCTAGAGGCCCAAAGTTCTTTTCCTTAAAGTCCAATAACTTTACCTGGTACACTATATTGTCTTGGTGTTTGTTGGTTGGTCTGGGCTCATATTCTCAGGTATGTGGTGTGCTCTTTTCAATATGTAGCTTGATACCTTTTAATATATATATATATTATATTATATAATATATATATATATATTTTTTTTTTTTTTTTATTGAGACAGAGCCTCGCTGTTTGCCTAGGCTAAGTGAGTGCCGTGGCATCAGCCTAGCTCACAGCCAACCTCAATCTCCTGGCTCAACAATCCTGCTGCCTCAGCCTCCCAAGTAGCTGGGACTACAGGCATGTGCCACCATGCCCGCTCATTTTTTCTATATATATAGTTGGCCAATTAATTTCTTTCTATTTATAGTCAGAGACGGGGCTCCACTCTTGCTCAGGTGTTTCGAAGTCTGACCCTGAGCATCACGCCCGCCCGGCCCTCCCAGAGTGCTAGAATTACAGGCGTGAGCCACCACACCCGGCCCTTTTATATTTTTTAATATCAGGAAATCTTTCCTGAATTACAGTTTTGGGTATTTGTTATATTGATTTAGTTTGGCTTTCTTCCTTGGTGTTTCTTAGTATTTTACTAGTGCCACAGTCCTCTTCTTACTGTCTTGTTTCTCAGCTACCCAGAGCTGAAGCTTGTGCAGTCCATCCACGCCCATCCTTCGAACCGCATCTGCATCAAATTTGAATCTAAGAAGCTCTCTCAGCATTTTCCTTGTTGCATAAGTCAGTGTTATTTCATTCCGGGTAAAAATGTGGGTGTTTTTTTTTTTTTTTTTTTTTTTGAACAGGATTCACTTTTGTCCAGTGCTAGATGAGTGCCGTGCATCAGCCTAGCTCACAGCACCTCAAACTCCAAAACCTGGGCTCGCATGTATCCTCTGCGCTCAGCCTCTCCGAGTAGCTGGGAACTGCATACATGTGCCACCTATGCCGGCTTAATTTTATTATATATATATTAGTCTAGTTGCCAATTAATTCTCTTCTGTTTAATAGTAGAGAGCGGTACGGCCTTGTCAGGTGGTTTTGAATCCTGACCTGAGCGATCCGCCCGCCTCGCTCGTCCCAAGAGGCTAGTATTACAGGTGAAGCCACAGCCGTCCCGGCTGCGTTTTTTTTATACAGAGTTGCCCGCCCGATAGCTGGGACTACAGGCATGCGCTATCCATGTCCGGCTAATTTTTTCATATTCTTTTTAGTTGCCAATAATTTTATCTTTTAGACAGAACAGGCTGGCTCTTGCTCAGGTGGTTCACAACTCCTGACCTGCGACGACCACCGCCTCTCCGTCCACAGAGACTAGATGACGCGCGTGAGCCACCGCGCCCAGCCCGTTCTGGGTAAAATTGTGCCCTTCTTTTATTCCTTATACATTGGGGAATTCTCTCCATCTGTGCTCGCTCCTAGTTGATTATAGTTGCATTGGCTGTGAGACCCTCAGTTTTAGCTATGATGGTACAACATCAGAAGAAAATTTTATTGACATTGCTGAAGTAGAGACAGGTAACTAAAATACTCACATCTTAACGAAAGTCTCGTCTTTCATCCTTCGCTGTTAGGACATATCTTTTTGTATATTTTCCATGTTGCTATCTCACCAGCATTATCATAAATGAATTGTCTCCTTAAGGCAAGTTTGTTTGTATTATGACTGTCTCTGCCAGTAATAAGGGAGCAAAGGATTAGAAAAGAAATGGCAGGTCGAAGAAAAGTAATTTAAGAAAAAATATTTTACATTTTAATAAATGTTTAATTCTCCATCTGAATGAAGCAAAAAATTTAAATATACAGAGTAGAAAGAAAAAAAGAGTAATCTGTGACCCAATCATCTTGAGACCACTTCTAGTAATGTAATGTACTTCTTATTTTTTTCTTACATGTAAAGCTAAAAATATATATTTCTCATGTAATTTAAGGAATTATCAAAATAGTTATGCTCTACTTTAAGAAAAATACAACCAAAAACCAAAACTTGAAAACAGAACTTGAAAATGGAAAAATGGGTGAAGAGTATTCATTTTATAAAAGAATTTCCTCAGACATTTAGTTTTCAATGTGGCTTTGTTTTTGGAAATATCATGCTTTAAAAAAAATTTCAAACTTTACAGAAAAATACAAAGAAGAAAGTAAAATACTTGAAATTCCCCTATTTAAAGTTAACTATTATTGGGATATAGCTACTGCATTGTTCAGAGATAAATTTATAGTTGTAAATGTCTACATTGCAAAGAAGAAAGACCTCAAATCAGTAACTTAACCTTTTAATTTAAGAAACTAGAAGAGCAAACTAAACTCAGAGCAAGCAGAGGGAAGGAAATATTAATGTGCAAAGTGGAAATAAATAAAAAAGAGGGTAGACAAACAGTAGAAAAAAATCAAGGAAACTAGAAGTTGGTTCTTTGAAAAGATCAACAAAATTGAAAACTTTTAGCTAGACTGAGCAAGCATGGAGGTGAGAAAATCCAAGTTACTAAGATCAGGAATGAAAATAGGTATATTACTACTGACTTTACAGAAATAAAAAGAATTACAAAGGAATACTGTGAACAACTATATGTCAAATTAGATAACCTAGATGAAGTGGACAAATTCCTAGAAACATGGGAACTACTGAAATTGACTCAAGAAGAAATGGAAAATCTAAATAGACCTGTAAGAAGAAAAGATGTTGAATTAGTAATCAAAAACCTTCCTACCAAGAAAAGCCTAGGACCAGCTGGCTTTCCTGGTGAATTCTACAAAATATTTACAGATTTAACATCAATTCTTCAAAAATGCTTCCAGAAACATAGAAGAGGAGGAAATACTTCCCAACTCTTTTTGAAGCCAGTATTACCCAGATACCAAAGCCAGAAAACACAAAAAACTATAGACTAATATCTCTTATGAATCTCTATGCAAAAATCTTTAATGAAATACCAGCAAACTGAATCCAGCGACATATCAAAGGATTATATACCATGACTAAATGGAATTTATCCCAGGAATGCAGTTTGTTCATTATATAATAATCAAGCAATGGTAATATACCATATTAGTAGAATAAAGGACAAAACCCACATGATCATCTCAGTAGCCTTGGATGAAGCATTTGATAAAACTCAACACCTGTTCAAGATAAAAACAATTAATAAACTAGGAATAGAAGGGAATTTCCCCAACCCATGAAAAGGTATCCATGAAAAACCCACACTAACATACTTTATGGTGAAAGAAAGAGCTTTTCCCATAAGATTAAGAGCAAGACAAGGATGTTTGCTCTCGCCACTTCTATTCAGCATTGTATTGGAAGTTCTAGCCAGAGCAACGAGGCAAGAAAAAGTTGTAAAGGGCATCAGATTGGACAGGTGACAGTAAAACTATATTTGCAGATGACATGAACCTGAACATAGAAAATCCTAAGGCATCTACAAAAATAAATATCATGCTGGAAACTCAGACTTGTGGGGGGACGGAGGGAAAGGGCATTTATTGAAACCTTAAAATCTGTACCCCCATAATATGGCGGAATAAAAATAAATAAATAATGAAAAAAATTATGAGAGCTAATAAAGTTCAGTAAGTTTGCAAGATACAAGACCAAGAAGACAAAATCATTTGTATTTCTATACACTAGCAAAGAACATTCAAAAATGAAATTAAGAAAACAATTCCTGGCCCAGCGCAGTGGCTCATGGCTCTGACCCTAGCACTCTGGGAGACCAAGGCGGGCGGATTGTTTGAGCTCAGGAGCTGGAGACCATCCTGAGCGAGACCCGTCTCTACTAAAAATAGAAAGAAATGAGCTGGACAACTAATATATATAGAAAAAAATTAGCCGGGCATGGTGGCTCCTGCCTGTCGTCCCAGCTACTCGGGAGGCTGAGGCAGCAGGATTGCTTGAGTCCAGGAGTGTGAGGTTGCTGTGAGCGAGGCTGACGCCACGGCACTCACTCTAGCCAGGGCAACAGAGTGAGACTCTGTCTCAAAAAAAGCAAAGAAAAAAAGAAAAAAGAGAATATATCTACCAAAGAGTAGGTAAAGAACTGTGAAGCGCAAAGCGGAAGGGACACCATTTGAAAGGGCAAAGGCTGCGCGCGCGGCATGCCGGGATCCGCAGTCCCGGGGCGGGCGCAGTGCGGCTGCGCGGGGAGCCGCGGCTGGTCCCTGCGCACGCGCGTGGCGGCGGCGCCGGCGCCAGCCCCGAGTGCGCCCGGGCGGGGGCGGCCGTGCACGCTGCTGGGGCCCCGGCATGGCGGTGCCCGCGGCGGCCATGGGCCCTTCGGCGCTGGGCCAGAGCGGCCCCGGCTCGATGGCGCCCTGGTGCTCGGTGAGCAGCGGCCCGTCGCGCTACGTGCTGGGGATGCAGGACCTGTTCCGGGGCCACAGCAAGACGCGCGAGTTCCCGGCGCACAGCGCCAAGGTGCACTCGGTGGCCTGGAGCTGCGACGGGCGTCGCTTAGCCTCGGGGTCCTTCGACAAGACGGCCAGCGTCTTCGTGCTGGAGAAGGACCGGCTGGTGAGCCGCGGGGGCGCGGCCCGGGCCCGGGGGGAAGGGGCTAGGGGAGCCCTGGGCGTGGGACTGAGGGGTGGGGAGGGGTGAGGAGGGCGGAGGGGCGGCGGGAGAGTGGGGTTGAGGAGGGGAGGGCCTTGGGGGTCAGGAGGGGGAGAATGGGGGTGTGTGGGGGACGTGGCCGCGCGGTGTGCGACTGGGGGGCGCTGGGCGGGAAGGAGTGGCGTGTCGGCGAGCAGTGCCTAGGGGCTGTCGTGGGGTCCCTGTGGTGGCGAGCTGGCCCCTTTGAAAGTAATAGGGACGTCCTGTGGGAACGAGCAGGAGGCCTGGGACTTTGGTAGTAGAGTGAAGGGTGGAAAACCAGGGAGGAGGAGGAAGGCCAGGGAGGGCAGAAGAGTAAGGGCACTGGTGTGGAAGGAAGCTCAGAAACAGCCCCAGAGTTATTGAGGAGGCGGAGGGGGACAGGGGGAGGGAATATTGCGGACAGCTTTGGAGAAAGGGCTTTCAAGGACTTGTATTCTTTTTTAATCATCCAGATCTTTGTTGATCCCTAGATACCTTGGTTTGAGTGAAATTTAAAAAAAAATCACACGTGAAGGCAGGTACGTCTGTGTGAGGTGACATGTGGATTCTGTTCTTTCAGGTCAAAGAAAACAATTATCGGGGGCACGGGGATAGCGTGGACCAGCTTTGTTGGCATCCAAGTAATCCTGACCTCTTTGTCACGGCGTCTGGAGATAAAACCATTCGCATTTGGGATGTGAGGACTACAAAATGCATTGCCACTGTGAACACTAAAGGTGACTATTCGGAGAGAGGGCAATAGGAAGATAAGCTACTTGTGTTCGTTCAGTAACCATTTGCTGAATGTCTTCTCTTTCTGGCACTCTGCTAGGTATGAGACATATTGGGCTGAAAAACAGTTTCCAGCTCCAAGGACCTCATGGTTTAGTGTGGGAAGAGAGACATAGGTGTAAAAATGACATAACAGGACATGGTTCATTTTACAATGGAGATGTCTACAGGTGGATACTCAGAGTAGAAATGTAAACGTCTATCTGGGGAGACAGGGAAAGCCTCACAAAATTTGAGCAAACTCTTAGAATAGCCATAGGAATTTAGTGATCAGGATGCAGTGGGTGAGGAGTTCTTGGAGGGAAAAGCATGTGCAAAGGCATGGAGAATTTGGGAAATTCTGGTAGGTTAGAATGGCTGAAGCAGCCACGCTTGGTGGCTCACACCTGTAATCGCAGCCGGTTGGGAGGCTGAGGCAGGAGGATCACTTGATCTGAGAGTTCAAGACCAGCCTGGGCAACATAGTGAGACCCTGTCTCCACAAAAAATTTAAAAAATAGCTGAAGTGCAGTGGTGTGTGCCTATAGTCCTAGCCACTTGGGATGCTAAAGCAGGGGGATCACATGAGCTCAGGAATTTGAAGTTACAGTGAGCTATGATTGTGCCACTGCACTCCAGCCAAGGCAACAGAGCAAGACTACCCCCCTCCCCCCCCAAAAAAGCTGAAGCTTTAATGGTCTTGGTGGTCTAGGAGAAAATGACCACAAAGTTGTGCAATACATTTATGGGGTGTGTTCTTACCAGGTATTATTTTATAAATCTTGAGGCCATTTATTGTAATTAGACAATAAAGTGTCATTGATTGTAACAATGCACCAATGTTTTATGGGCCGTTAGGAAAGAAAGTAGCCAGATAACCATGACACAGGGAAATTTTGAAATGTATCCTGATACATTTTAAGATGAGTCATAGATACTAAAATGTGAGAAAAATATTCATCTTAAGTCTGTAAAGTAGATGACATTTTTATTGATGTGTTCAGCATGGGCTGCTGGACTTTGTTGACAAGACTTGTACCTGGAGGCAGAATGATGTATTGGTTTTTTTCAAGTATACAGCTGGTGATGCAGGAGTGATTTAGATGATCCATGGGTGAGCATTCAAAGCCAGTTAGGTATATATATTTTAATGCCTACTAGAAGAACAGAACTAGCTCATAGAATTTATTGCTAAATTGAAATTATACTTATTTAAATACATTTTTTGGATCTATTTAAAATGAAAGATCTTGAATAAAGAAAGTATAGCTGTTACATGGAGAGGACAAAAATTGCAAAGGTGGCATGGAAATGACTAGAGTTTGAGAAATGTTGGTGTAAGAGAATAGGGGGCTTTGGGGTCAAATGTGTGTTTAAATCTTGGTCCGTGACTTCATAGCTTTGACACTTTGGCTGGTCTTCCATTTCTTCATCTGTAAAATGGGGTGATGAAAAGTATTGTGAGGACCAGATGGGGAGATTTGCAGATGAATGAGCTGGACTTAGAGTTGATGATTCATAAGTGATAGTTCCCTTTCATTGACTAGGATCTTAATGAACGAGCTCTGAAGTAGCTCTGGTCTTCTTACTAGGGTAGCACAATAAACTCTGGAGGATTACGAGCAAACGTATTACCTTGCTGATTGTATCTGGGTTCCCAGGGGAGAACATTAATATCTGCTGGAGTCCTGATGGGCAGACCATCGCTGTAGGCAACAAGGATGATGTGGTGACGTTTATTGACGCCAGGACACACCGTTCCAAAGCAGAAGAGCAGTTCAAATTTGAGGTCAACGAAATCTCCTGGAATAATGATAATAACATGTTCTTCCTGACAAATGGCAATGGTTGTATCAACATCCTCAGGTGAGGGGATTTTAGCTTAGGGGATTGTTTTACATCTTTGTTCCCAGTACTGTAACGGTTACAGAGGAGAGTTAGATGTGAGTCTATGCTGAAGGAGCTTAAAAGGCAAATAGTAATAAGGAATCCTAACCTCTGTTAAACACATTTGAGCTTTATATTTTATATACTTTGCATTTTATTGAGTCTTCATAGAAATTCTCAGGGGTTGATGGTATGTTTCCCATTTGACAGGTGAGGCTCTGAGGTTGAGAGATTAAGTCCCTAGTCAGCTGGTGGGCACTAGAACTGGATGCACATTGAATTGTGGCTAATTTGTCTAAGTTTCAACTTAAATATCACTTTCCCTTCAGGGAACCCATCCATACCCTCCTCTTTAGCCAAGATTAGAGGTAGATTAGAGGCTTAGTTTGCGTACTTCCTGTTGGAAGCATTTCTCATTCTGTATTGTAGTTGCATGTTTACTTGCTTATGTCTCCCTTTAGATTGCAAATTCCATGATGGTAGGGACTGTGTTTGCCTGTTTACTGTCGAATCCCTAATGCCTAGCCCAGTACCTGCTACACACAGTAGGATCTCAATAAATATTTGTTCTCTAAATGAATAAAATTGTGGAATTGCAATTCAGGTCTGTTCAATTCTATTCTTTCGACTACCCTGGGTGAGCAACGCACAGCAGAGTGAGACAGGTTTTGCGATAGAAAGGCCAGGAGTACGTTGTGGAATTCCAGGGAGAGACCCTGTCATATTGACTGAGGTGGTTAAAGGAGGCAGCCTCTGAGCTTAAAAGAGAATTTTAAGAATCAGCAGAAGGGAACCACACAATTGGCAAAATAGGTGTTGAAAAGCATGACTTGTTTGGAGAGTAGTTAGGTCAAGAGTTTTTGGGGAGTGGCAGAGGATAGGGAATATGCGAAGAGAGGGCACGATAATGGGAAGATAAAATTGAAATATAATTGGGACCAGATTGTAAAAGGCCTTGAATTTTATGCTTACTGTCTTGGATTTTGTTTTGTAGGCAGTGGGGATGCTGTGACTTTTTTAAAAAAAGTTTTTATTATGAAAGACATAGTGAAAACTACATAAAACAAATGTATAACTTAGTGAACTATTACATGCTTAATAGCTGTATAACCCTACCTAGGTTGAGAAATAGTTCTTTCCAGCCACCCTAGAAGTGCATCCGTGTGTTTGTTTTGTCCTCATCACTCCTTCCCTCAAAAGTAAACACTACCTTGACTTTTATAGTGTTTCTTCATAGTTTTATCTACTGGTGTACATCCCTAGATACTCTCATTTTGCTCATTTAAAACAAGTTGATAGGTCTTTGGAGTCTGTCAGACTATTAATACGTAACGGAAACTGCTGAAAAAGGGCTGGAGGCCGTCCAGTCTGTTGGAAAAACCAGACTCTGAGCCTGTGGAGACTCTCCCAGTTTGGAGTTTGCTGATGCCATGTGCTTCTTTACTTGATGGAAACTTCATAGAGATACTTCCTCTCATCTATTATATCGCTTGGTTACCCAGTAGTATAGTACATCTAGGGAATGCAGGATAAATTCTTGATTTTTTTCCCTTTGTCTTTAGATAATGAATTAGTTCCCTATCACCTTTAAAGATTAGGTTTATTTTTTTTTTTAAGAGTCATTATGGACTCGTGTATTTAAACATAGTTGATGTGTTCCAATTGTTATGCTTATTGAAGCACAAATTATTCCATTTTTCACCAATGAGAGCCTCTTCAACTTGATTCATGAGCCCCCCCTTTTTTTTCCATAACCTCAAAGTCTTCTGTTTCTTGCTGTCTAGTATACGATGTTTCATGTTTATTTTGTTTATTTCCTGCCCCAGACCTTTAATCAGAAAATTATCTAAGAAGCCTGGGAAATGATACTGAAACTAGGAATGTCCATTACTACTGGGTTGGTCATTGTTTCTAGGCCTTTCCAGTAGACAGCTTGGAAATACATGTTTATATTTTTAAAGATAAAATACCTTGAGAATTCATACTGATAATTTGCAGTTATAGTTCAGGACTACAGGGATTTTACTTAACTTCCTCTGTATTATAAGTATATCTCTTTCCTTCCAAACTGAGTATTCTAGTTCTCAGGGGCACAGGGCATCTCAGAATTACAATATCCCACGGTTACTTATTACCTTTATCCCATGTTAAACATACAGATGTTCCAGAATAACAATACTACTGCCACTACCACCAGTGTTATTACTTAAGACAGAAAAAAATGTTTGCTTTTTGCATAAGCTTTCCCCATTCTCCCCTTATTAAAAAAGTAGTGCTATATATTGTCAGAGTATATAGGTATTACATACTATGCCCTCCCTTTAAACCATACATAGTTTCTACAAGAAACTGTATATTTAATGTCCATCACCAGTCTTTTTGCTCGTAAGTCTATTCGTTTTGGTTGTCAGATCTCTAGTTACGATTCCTTAGGAAGAGTTCGTGGGAACGTTATTCCCAGAGTTCTTATTATAGCTTATTTGTATACTTATAAAACTTACAGATACTTTATTGAACTTATTATTTGTATTTTTATATTTGATATTCAGCTTTGCTGGATATAAAAATCCTTGACTCATATTTTCTTGCTTGTGTATCTTAAATATGGTACTCCACTTTCTTTTTGGCATTGAGTATTGCTGTTTAACAGTCCGACGATAATTGAATTTTCTTTTCCTTTAAAGTCTGTGTCTTGATGTTAGTTGGTCTGAGTTTATATTCCCAGGTGTGTGTTGTGCTCTTTCAATATGTAGTTTGAAAACAGTATGTGTTTTGAAATCTCATTTCAGGAAAATTATCTTGAATTACAGTTTTTGGTTTTGTTCTATTGTCTTACTTGATTTTCTTCTTCACTGTCTCCTGTTGTTGTCAAGCACCTCAGTCGTCGTCTTCAGTTTGATTGCCATCTGTCTTGTTTCTCAGCTACCCGGAGCTGAAGCCTGTGCAGTCCATCAACGCCCATCCTTCGAACTGCATCTGCATCAAGTTTGATCCCACGGGGAAGTACTTTGCTACAGGAAGTGCGGATGCTTTGGTCAGCCTCTGGGACGTGGACGAGTTAGTGTGTGTTCGGTGCTTTTCCAGGTGAGCGACCTGCCCAGCACTTTCCTTGTTGGATAAGTTAATTTCATTTCATCCTGGGTGAAGTCATATCCTCCTCCAACTGGGCAATTCTGATGTCTCTCGTCCACTCCATATTATAGGCTGGATTGGCCTGTGAGGACGCTCAGTTTTAGCCACGATGGGAAAATGCTGGCCTCAGCATCAGAAGATCATTTTATTGACATAGCTGAAGTAGAAACAGGTAACTTAATGAGAATCCTCTGTCTTTCATCCGTGGCCAACAGACTTCTCTTGTCGTGTGTTTTCATCTCTGCACGTTACCACGTCACCAGCCTTATCTAAGTGAATTTGTCTCCTAAGGCAAGTTTCTTTTGTGTTATGACTGTTACTGCCAGGTAACAAGGGAGCAAAGAGTTAGGAAAGAAGCAGGCAGGTCTGAAGGAAAGCGATCTAGGAAAGAATTGCACATTTTGTTAACACTTAATTCTTCCATTATAATGAAATTTGTAAAATGCAGAGTAGGAGGAACAAAAAAGCATCACCTGTGTTCCCACCATCTAAATATGAGCCATTTGAATGTCGTAGTATATTTTGTTTTATTTTCTTGCCTGAATATGAACTTGAAAGAAACATATTTTTTGTAATTTAAGGAATTGTCGAAGTTTTGCTTTGAAAACAATGAAACAGACCTAAGTTGAAAATAAAAATTATGGGAGGAGAGTATTCACCTTACAAAAGAATTTCCTCAGTTCTATTTTTTTTTTTTTTTTTTGAGACAGAGTCTCACTTTGTTGCCCAGGCTAGAGTGAGTGCCGTGGCGTCAGCCTAGCTCACAGCAACCTCAAACTCCTGGGCTCAAGCAATCCTGCTGCCTCAGTCTCCCGAGTAGCTGGGACTACAGGCATGCGCCACCATGCCCGGCTAATTTTTTCTCTATATGTTTTTAGTTGGCCAATTAATTTCTTTCTACTTTTAGTAGAGACGGGGTCTCGCTCTTGCTCCGGCTGGTTTCGAACTCCCGACCTATAGCAATCCGTCCACCTCAGCCTCCCAGAGTGCTAGGATGACAGGTGTGAGCCACCACGCCCGGCCCTCAGTTCTATTTTTTAATGTAGCTTTATTGTTTTTGGAAATATGTGGTACTCATAGTGAAAGAATTCAAACTATGTAGAAAACTTCCAAGAAGAAAAGTAAAAAACTTGAAGTTCCACTGTTTAAAGAACGCCTGTGTTAACACTGTGGTGGGCACCGCCCAGCCACACGGGTCCTTTACGTAAGCCCGTGGTCCCTTGACGAGGTGACACTCCTGCTGGCGACCTGCTCTTAAGCTCACCTGTCTGTGTTCAGATCCTGCTCTGCCTCCTGCTGACTCGTGACCCCTCTGTGCCTCAGGGTTCTTCGCTGTAAAAGGAGGCGATTTATTTTACTTACCTCACAGGATCATTGAACGGATCAGACGAGTTAGCATCGGTAAGTACTTAGGAGGTGCCCGAGTCAGGGTGTTGATGTGTCTCTCTGTGCCGACTTCCGTAGGGGACAAGCTGTGGGAGGTGCAGTGCGAGTCTCCGACCTTCACCGTGGCGTGGCACCCCAAAAGGCCTCTGCTGGCGTTTGCGTGTGACGACAAAGACGGCAAATACGACAGCAGCCGGGAAGCCGGGACCGTGAAGCTGTTCGGGCTCCCTAACGACTCCTGAGAGGAGAGGGCGTCGGGAGAGGAGGCCCCGGCAGAGGCCTTCGCTTGTGCAGTCAGTTTGGTCTGTCCCCCTGGCGTTGGTGGGCACCCTAAACGTGCGCAGATTGGCATACATTACAAAGGTCTTTTGTCAGGCTGCCCATTCCAGTTCCTTTCCTTATTGTGCGTTTTAGCTGTTCCCATTCTTCCCTTTCTAGCCTCAGTTCGCTGATGATGACTCTGCAGTGTGGGCGAAGGCCTCAGCGTGCTTGTCCTCAGGACCCCGTCTTCTCTGCTGTTGGGTGTGTGGGGGATTTTGTTGAGCTTGATGCTACTTGGACAATACCTAGTTTGGAGGAAGGGCTTAAGCCAGGGTGGGATGGGTATGGAGGGTTTTTTTTTTAATAATTAAAAAAATAAGTATATATAATTTTGAGAATTGAGCATTTAATAAAACTGACCTTTTTATTATAAGGCTTCCGAGACTCTTAAAATTATGGTATCATTGTGTTCTTATGTTGCGTTTTGTATTATTTTTTTTTGAGACAGAGTCTCGCTTGTTGCCCAGGCTAGAGTGAGTGCCGTGGCGTCAGCCTAGCTCCAACTCCTGGGCTCAAGGGATCCTCCTGCCTCAGCCTCCCCAGTAGCTGGGACTACGGGCCTGTGCCACCGTGCCCGGCTAATTCTTTCTATATATATATATATATATATATATTAGTTGGCCAATTAATTTCTTTCTATTTTTAGTAGAGACGGGGTCTCGCTCTTGCTCAGGCTGGTTTTGAACTCCTGACCTTGAGCAATCCGCCTGCCTCGGCCTCCCAGAGAGCTAGGAAGGATGACACCTTTTGCATGCATGTAACTAATGGAATGCTTGTGGCAACAGGGAAACACGTCTGTGAGGAAAGAGCTCCAGCTGGTGGCAGTTTTTGCAGGCTGTCAAGGTCTTGACGCCGTATCTGTGCCTTCGCTTTGAAGTCCTGGGAGAACTAAAAGTAGGTCCATTCTGGAAAATGATGTAAAGTGTCCCAGACCTGCGGCCCTTCCTTCCTTAGTTTGAGAGCATTTTGTAGTTCCGCAGAGCTAGAAGGATGCCATTCAGAGTCACAGCTGGCCATTAATTGCTCTGTCCAGGCATTTCCTGTGATTGCTACTGCACACACTGGCAAGCCAGAAGTGAGCTAGGTTTTAGTTGGCAGGGAAAGTCTGGGATTTGCTGTACCAATGACCCACTGCGGGGTTGACTGGGATGACAAGTCAGGCTAAGAAATGCTATACGATTACAGTTTTTACCTTTTTTGCTGAGATCCCGGTATCCATGGCATGAGGTCCAGGGAAGATGAACCATGCCAAATGCTAAGCTCGTGAGAGGTTGTGTGTGTGTCTTGTGGGGTGTCCTTCCACCTTAACCTGCCTGGGTATAAGGTTGTGCAGCTGGGGTCCTGACAGAGGGCCCTGCGTGTGTGTGGGGGCAGAGGGTGGGTTCCGGAGGCTAGTGCAGGGAGTCCTGGCCAGAGACAGGTAGATCCAAGGAACAGGCTAAGGCCAGAGCAGGCTCAGCACTCCTCAGTGGGAGAGTGAGGTGCGGGGTACCAGAGGGGAATCAGGAAGAGGCCAGCCCTGGGAGGCTTTAGAGAAGGGTGTGTGCATGTGTGTGTGCGTGCGTGTGTGTGTGTGTGTCCACGCACCCGTGTGCACATTAGGAGCTGGCTGGGGTGTGATGTGTGAGTGGGGTCACTTTAGAGTGTCCGGGAATGGGGTAGAAATGCCCTTGAGCCCTTTCTTGTTTGAGCAACGTATTTCCCTTAATTAAGGCTTTTATTTGCAAAATGGACCATGAAATATCTACCCCTCTTTGGAAAGAAAAAGGCCACAGACAGAATGAAAAGGAAGTCCTATCTTTAGGAAGGGAGTAGAGACCGTATGCACAGAATGCATTGCAAACTCAGAAATACCTGTACATGGGTAGGTGTTTCCCTCCTTTCTCTCCCGGACACTGTGGTGCAGCGGAAGTGACACTGCTTTGCAACCGGGCAGGAGCGGATTAAAATCCTGGCTCCAGCAGCGATTTATCTGAATCTACTCTGCTCATCCATTAAGTGGGGGTAATTAATCCTGTTCTCCTTGGATTATTAGAAGAATTAAACAACCTGAAGTGTTTATTAGGTCAGGCCTATGATTGTTTCCTGGTCATTTATGAGGGACTTTGTCTCTTCCAAAATGCTGGCTAAAGCTCAACACACAGACAGGAGGCCCTCTCCCCGCCTTTGTCGGGTTGACCAAAAGCTGTCCTTGCTGGGCCTTGTACGAGGGGGAGATAAATCAGACTGCTGTGACCTTGGACCCATTTTAAAGATGAAAAAGAATTCAGGGAGGTTAGGGACCTTGCCCAGGGCCAAACTGTCTGTGAGTTAGTTTGAAGTCCACGTTCCTTCCATTGTACTTGGGTCCAGCATCCAACTGTTGTAAGTTCTGCCTAGTCCAGATGTAGCTTATCAATAACACAGATTATTGTTAGTGTTGCAAAGGCTTAGGAGTTTTAGGAGTCTCGCCATCAACATCAGACTCACCTGGCTCTTTGTGGGAGAGGTGTCACGCTGCTGATGGACAGAAACCAGACAAGAGAGAAGCTTTTGCTTGGTGGACAGAAGGTAAATAACACACCCAGGGCAAGAGAGTTTTTCGCCCAAAGCTGCTGCACCCCTGTCCTGTCCTGGCTGAGGGGAGCACGGAGGGCACCCCTGTCCTGTCCTGTCCTGAGGGGAGCACGGAGGGCACCCTGTCCTGTCCTGGCTGAGGGGAGCACAAAGAGCACCCCTGTCCTGTCCTGAGGGGAGCACGAAGGGCACCCCTGTCCTGTCCTGGCTGAGGGGAGCACCGAGGACACCCCTGTCCTGTCCTGGCTGAGGGGAGCATGGAGGGGACCCCTGTCCTGTCCTGGCCTGAGGGGAGCACGAAGAGCACCCCAGTCCTGTCCTGGCCTGAGGGGAGCACGGAGGGCACAGATGTGAAGGCCAGCCTGCCTCTGCCCTGGGAGCCCGCGGTCTGGTGTAGGGATCGTGGTTTCATAGAAAACAAGTCAGACCATATTTCTCCCTTGCTTAGAGCATCTCACTGGCTTCTCCCTGCACTCCCCTCAGCTCCGGTCTCCCGGGCTGCATTCTCAGCAGCAGTTAAGCCTTGATCTGGTAGCCCTCTCTTGCAGTGGTTCTCCCTAACCTCAACCTCAATGTAGTCTCCCTTTGCCCCGTTACTGGATCTCTTCTCACCCGCTTTAATTTCATTCGGAGTATTTTCTTACCATTCGGAACTACTCATTTGTTTGCTTGTGTTGTGACCATCTCCCCAATTAAACTGCCAAATGTCCCGGAGGCCATGCCCGACACGTTCATGCCTATGCTCCGGATCTCTAGCATGGTGCTCGGTGCTACTGAGCTGGTGTTCCATAAATGTTTATTAAAGAAATGAACACACAGGAAAGGAGTTACTAATCCGGGCAGAATGCCAAGCAGGGTGTTAACACTTGCTTTGGTCGGGGGCTTGTAGAAAGAGGAGGAGGGAAGGAAACGGGGGAGACGCCCCTGAGGAAAGCAAAGGTCTGGCTCAACTCTCACAGTGTCCCAGAGAGGGAGGTGCTGTGATCCCAGCTCACGGCACGGGGAGCATGCCGAGAGGTGCCTGTCCTTGCTGCAGTGATGCAGTCGTCAGGCAGAGAAGCAGGACCCGAGCCCCCGTGTGCAGCTCCAAAGCCCAGGTCTTTCCCTGCAGGTCAGTTTCTCGGGCACCAGAACCGCCATCTCCCCAGGAGACTGCAGCGCCCCGCTGGGCTGGGAGCCGTGCTGAAGGCCCTGCTCTTTCTTCCGCCTGTAGAAAGTGGGTGTGATCGCGGAAATGGCACAGGAATGCTGCAAGTGGAGGAAGAAGGGGTTTGTCCTGGAAGTGGGGGTGGGAATCTGCCAGGCGGCCCTTGGAGGAGGTTTGAGGCAGAGGGCTGGTCTCAGCAGAGGCATGGACACATGGGCCATGCTGGTCCAGCAGGGCAGACAAGGAGCGGGCAGCGGGGTCCCCTCCAACAGTCTGGCCTTAAAAAGGGTGTTGACCCAAACGTTTGCACTCTGCTGCCTTGCCTGTTGTGGTCTAACCCGTCTCTTTTCTGGGTGCGGTTACTTGAGGACCCTCTCAGGGCTTTAGCCTCTCCTGGCTCCTATTTCACTATTATTAGTGTCACAGAGAAGGAGGTCGAGACGGGGATTTACCCATGAGGGCTTTCTGGGTGAAATCAGTTGCAAATTGGCTGGGTCACTTAGTCAAAGACAGAACCTGTACTGGGAGGCCTGTGCCTTTTCACACTTCTGTGCCCACAGGTGTGGGGCCCTGGCCTAGCTCCCTAACCAGGTTGGGCCCTGTGTGGCTTGCAAGCGCTTGGGCTGCGGGTCCGATGGTCCCAAGCTCTGATCTTGGCCTTGCCACTTGATTGCATGAAGGTGACACATCTTGTCACCCGTCTGGGTGTCGTGCTCCCTATTCTCGGCAGAAGGATCTTCCACGGGCGAGAAATAGTATTGTGGACCGAATAGAGTTCCGAAGTTTGGAGAAGTTAACTTTATTTCTTATAAATAAAGTTTATTTATTTCTTATAAATAAATAAAGGGTCACAGCCTGCAGGCTGGCCATCCTGGAAGGCTGGAAAGTTTAGCCTCCAGCAGAGACCGAGAGCAGGCACTTCCCAGGAGGAAGGGTGAGGCAGGAATTTATGCTGAGCAGGTTGGCCAAGTAGACACATTCAACAGGCGGTAGGAGGAGCTGGGAACATTCGCAAAGGGGGACGCGTGCACGTGCGCTAAGCAAGTGTGTGTCCACTTTGGGGCAGTGGGCACAGATGCACTCCGTGTGCAGCCTCTGCCCACCAGCGGGAGCCAGTCCGTGGTCAGCGGTCTTCCATCAAGGAGAAAGTTACTGAGATCAGTCTCCCGTCCAGTCAGAGCGTGGTTATGGCTTGGAGAACAGGAGGGTGAGGGTCACTCCGCTCTGGCAGTCAGTGAGCCGCAGCTGTTTCAATATTGCTTTTTTTTTGAGGCCAGTGCTTGTTTAGCTGCTAGCAAACAAGAAGAACCGTGCACAGTTAGAACACAGTTTATTCTCTGAGTGCAGGGCGGATGGATTTAACCCTTGCCTAGGATGGGCTTAGGTCTTGTTTATGATTTGGTGTCTCGTTGCCACAGAGAGTTGGTTCTGTCAGTCGTCCGGTCTCTGTTTTCAGTCTCATCCCGCGGGCTCAGCGGGGAGGAGAGCCTGCACACAGCGCAGAAGGTGCCCAGCGCGCCAGGTTCTCTCCCCCTCCAACCCCTGCTTCCCGTGGGTTTAAGGGGTGGTGACAGGAGGCAGGGGGGAGCAGATTGGGGCCTGACTGTGGTGCTGGGAAGTTAGACCCGAGGCCCGAGGCCCGCCACCGGGGTTTCAAGGCCTTCAAGC